CGTAAAATAAAATAAAATTAAATTAAAAAATAAAAAGAAAGTAAGGGATATTAAGTAACTTGCCTAAGATGTTTTACAAAAAAAATAGAGGAGTTGGGAGTTGAACACAGGCAGTCTGATTCCAGAGTCCATCCTGTTTATCTTCTTTGTTATACTTCATCAAGATAAGAATGGTCTCTTTTAGTCTTAGTTTTCTGACACTTTGTTGTTATTTTTAAATTTTAAGTGAACAGTCAATTATCAGATGCTTTTCAACAGCCTTATGATTGTATAGTTTTCTTTTTGAATCTATTAATAAATATAATGAGTAACATTGGTAGCTTTTCTCATGTTGAACCATACTTGTATTTTTAGCTTAATACTTGTTGGCATTTATGGGTTTGTTTTGTTTTGTTTTCAAATGCATTGCTAACATAAATTTGCAAATACTTTAGTGTTTTTCACACCAGTATTTATAATAGCTTGACAGTAGAGTTACTGTATAATTCTTGTTTGATTTGGTATCCATATGACTATGCAACTTGCACTTCTGGCAGAAATGGGGTAACAGAGATAAGATTTACCCTCCTACCCAAAACAAACAGAAAAAAATACATGAAACAGCCATTACCAAGACACTGGACACTAGATGATGAAAGGCAATGATCTTGAGAGAGGAAACAAATGAGGTTAACCCTATGATTGCACTAGCCTAGTAACTTGAGAAAGTTTCTAGACCGTGGCACAGGTAGGGGGAATCCAGGCTAAGCCCAGTGGACACTCTGAGTGGAAGAGATGGCTGGGGACACCAAAGTGGCCTGAGTTCACAGAAGAGTATACAAGTATCACCTGCTTTTTGAAAATTTGCTTTATGCCACGTCACTTTTATGAAAGACGTATATTAGTACCTGTTTTCGCTAGCTGAAAGAAATCCAAAGAGGATTTTTGCTTTTCTAAAATAAGGCAAAAAGCAAAAATAGTATTCAGGGTTTGTCTTGCAATGAGTCATTATAGAGGCAGCACACACCGTAGGCAACAGGAGTGGCAAGCTCCTTCCTTGGGAATTACACTCAGCATCAAGCACCATAGCTTTGAACTGTGTCTATGGGTATGTTTTTTATCCCTATTTATTTTGTGCATCCATTACCAAGATGTGCTCTATGGTAATTGCTTTTTCACTTTACACCATTTGGGCTTACAAAAAGTTTCATAGGAATGCTCTACTTTCACATAGCGGGGGAATCCTGTACTGGAGAACTCTTGAAACAAGAATTCTTGAAAGCTTCAGAGGTCCCCTTCAGCTCTCATCTGAGTACTGACCAGTGCCTGCTTGTGAAGAAACTCCTGAAGGCCAGGGAAAGAACCTCTTGAAGGTTATTAGAGGTATCAGTGCTTGGTGCTTCCTCAGGGTCAGAAATGGTACCTGTTCTCACAAGCCACATTGGAAAACATCTTGATTCATGAGACATTGCATAGAATACACAGAAGGCTCTTGCCTCAGTAGTAGGGAATGATTAGCTCTAAATAAGCACTGCTCAGGTCCCACCCAGTTATCTTAAAAGCAAGACCTGAAAGGGTCAAACTGTTTTCAAGTAACTTTAACTGTGTTTAGGAACAAAGTTTAAGAGTATTTATAGGAATATAAAAATATCTGACACCCAACAAGATAAAATTCACAATATTTGACATTCAATCAAAAATTATCAGGCATGCAAAGAAGCATGAAGATACAATATATAATGAGAAAAGTCAATCAGAATTAACCCAGAGCTGACACAGATGTTGGGATTGCCCAGACAAAGACATTAAAACAGGTGTTATATCTGTATTCTGTATGTTCAAGAAGTTAAGTAGAGTTATAGAAGATATGAAAAAGACCCAAAATGAACTTCTAGAGATGAGAAATACAATGTTTGAGATGAAAAATACACTAATTAGGATTAATGACAATTTAGACGTTACAAAGGAAAAGATTAGTAAACTTACAGATACAACAGTAGAAATTATCATAAGTAAAAAAAAAAAGAAAAAAATGAACTGAGCATCAGTGATCTGTGGTACTACTTCAAGCATCCGGATATACATGTTATTAGAGTTCTCAAGGAGGGGCAGAGACAAATATATTTAAAGAAATAATGGCCATAAATTTATCCAGATTTGGTAAATACTATAAACCAATAGACTCAGGAAGCTCAACAAACTCTTAAGCCCAAGAAACTTGATAAAAACTACACCAAGATGAATCACAAAAATAGGATGCATGCTGGATTTGGTCTATGGACCATAGTTTGCCAATCTCTGTTCTAAAATACTATTTACTTACGTTGCTTATTGGTTGGTATGGGTTGAATTGTGTCCCCCCCAAAAGAAATGTTGACGTTCTAACCCTCCAGTACCTCTAAATGTGACCCTGTTTGGAAATAGGGCTGTTGCGATGTAATTAGTAGATGTCTGTTTTGTTCCCTGCTGGTGTTCCTAGCATCTAGATTCATACCCAGCATAGAAAGCACTTAATATATTTGTTGGATGAATAAATTGACTTCCTTGCTGTAAGCAGGTGTATAGTAGTGTATAAATATACTGTGATTTAACCAGTCCCAACTTTAGGCATGGACATAAGCTTTCATTTCCCTTGGAAAAATAGGAGTGGAATAGCTAAGTATATGGTAGTTGTATGTTTAGCCATATTCGTCTTTGGTGATGTGTCTATTCAGATATTTTGCTCACTTTTTTATTCGGTTTGTTTTCTCATTATGTTTTGAAATTTTTTAAAATATATTTTGGATATAAGGTTTTATTAGAAAATTGTATTGTCTCTCAGCCTGTCTTTTTATTCTCTTATCAGTGGTTTTTACACAGCAGAAACTTTCATTTTAATGAAGTCCAGTTTATCAGTCACTGTTGTATCTAAGAAATCTTTGCCTAATCCAAATTCTTAAAGGTTTTCTCCTATGTTTTCTAGGTACAAGTTTTAGGTTTTACATTTAGGTCTGTAAACTATTTCAAATTAATTTTTGTAAATAAAATTTTATTGGAATTCAGCCATGCTCATTTATTTACATACTGTCTTGGGCTGCTTTAGCACTCCAATAACAGAGTTGACTAGTTGCAACACTTAAGGCCCACAAAGCCTGAATTATTTATCTGTCCCTTTACGAGAAATGTTTGCCAACCTATTTTAGAAGGTGCTAAGTGCTATAGAGAAAAAACAGGAAAGAGAATAAGCAATACAGGGTGGTCAGGGAAGACCTGTAGGAGAAGGTAAATTTGAGCAAGGCTGCAAGGAATTAATCTTTATATACTGACTTAGAAATATGCCCAATATGTAGTGTTAAGTGAAAAAAGCAAGTTACAGAACATTATTGTGATCACATTTTTATAAAATAAAGTATATGTTGGTACAATATAGTTATAATATACACACAGAAAATTTTGTAAGATATTTGCACCCCTGTGTTCATTGCAGCATTACTAGTAATAGCCAAGATATGGAAACAACCTAGATGTCCATTAGCAGATGAATGAATAAAGAAGATGTGGTGTATATAAACAATGGGAAGGGGGTTGGAGGGCTGGGTGAAAATGGTGAATATTCAGCAATAAAAAAGTGAAATCCTGCCATTTGCAACAACATGGATGAACCTTGAGTGCATTATGCTAAGTGAAATAAATCAGTAAGAGAAACACCATATGATCTCACTAATATTATGTGGAATCTAAAATAAATAAACAAACAAACAAACAAACAGACAGACACATTGAGGTAGAGGAAAACCTGATGGTTGCCAGAGCAGAGGGGATGTGAAATGGAATTTAAAACAAAATTTTTTTTTCAAGATTAAAAAAATTGCTGTGCCAGCCAAGTGGCGTGTTGGTTAAGAGCTGGCTTGGGACGCCAGAAGGCCCCAGTTCAGATCCCACATATGAGGGCCAGTGGCACTGCCCTCTGCAGCTAAGATGCTGAACAACAGCTCAACCTGGAGCTGGGCTGCCATGAGTCGCCGGCAATGGTGTAGGCTGCAGCCCCTGCTGTAGTGGGTTGCCATGGGCTACCGTGTGTAGCCAACAGCCAGCGTGAGCGGCCGTCCAGAAGCCGGTGACTGATCTGCTTTGCCCGGGAAGAGCGCAATGATGGTGCCAACTTGGGCCAGTGAAGCAACGTCTCCACAACTGGACTGAAGAACAAAAGGACAGCAATTTGTCTGTTCCCCTTCCTGCAATTCCCCAGCGCTCTTCCCATCCCCCAATTCCCCAATAAAAATCTTTAAAAAAAAAAAAAGAATTGCAGCCATGCTGAACTAAAAAAAAAAGAAAGAAAATTGTTCAGTTGTTATCTTGGGATTATAGAGGACTTGCACATGACATATTTTCAATTTTTGTTCATTTGAAGATATAAAAGTAATGTATTTGCATTTTAAGATATTATGATAAATTTAATTTCTTGTATGTTATTAAATTATATCAAAGGCTTAATCTGTGTGAAACAGTAATAACGAATTCAACTTCTTGCCTAAGTTTGAAGTTACTTTGTTATATTTCAAAGAGGATCCACCACTATTTATGCTAGAATTTAACTGATACTGAGCAAATCTTAAAATGAATTTTTACACCTATGTGCATAAAATATTTTGGCACTTGAAGAGTCAGGAGCCTTGATTTATGCTAGTGGAAGACAAAAGGTATGATCCTGTTAAAGATTCGCTTTAACTGGTTTTGTCAAATTCAACAAAATGTGCCTTTCACATTTCGTTGACATTACATGGACAACAAGGAAGTTGGGATTAGTGGGGGAGCCTGTAATGTTTCCATGTATCAAAACAACAGTAGGATGTTTGAGTACCCTTCTTATACAAGTGTTTATGGGATTGTTTTCTACTGAAGCTTAGAAGGTATGTATCTAAAATAGGAAGGATACTTTCTGAAGACCTGAAAGCCTAATAGCAGGCAGGAATTTAAGAAGTACACATATAATAAATATTATCAAAGCCAGCTTTCTGAACAAGGCACTGTTCCCTTTGCAGTGAGACCCAGTGAAAAGAGCATGACATTTGGAGGCGGAAGACTTGGTTTCAAATCCCTGCTGCTTCCTCACTGATTTTATAATTTGGGTAAGTAACTTATCCTATCAGAATTTTTGTTTTCTTTTGTAAAGGTCCAGTAATTAATCCCTGCCATTCCAGTTTCAGAATGCACAATATCAAGAGTGAACCCTAAGGTGAACTGTAGATTTTGAGTGATTATATTATGTCAATGTAGGTTCCTCATTGGTAAAATGTACCACTCTGTTGTGTGATGTTGATAATGAGGGAGGCTATGCATGTGTGGGGCAGAGAGTATGTGGGAAATCTCTGTACCTTCCTCTCAATTTTGTTGTAAACCTAAAATTGCTGTAAAACAAACTATAAAATAAAATAATTCCTGCCCTATCTACGTGCTTCCCTAGGATATTAGGAGAATCAGTGAAATAATTTATATGAAAGCACTTTGTGTAATATAAAATAGTATACTAGTGTTAGATATTATTAATTCATAATTAGCATTAATGGAATAGAGCAGAGTTGTATAATTTTTAAAATAATTTAATAGTAGGCACACGGACTTTTTGCAAATTTATTCAAAGTAACTGTATTGTGTATGACATGATATAAAAGATACTGTATTGAAATTTTCCCCATCCTGATTCCCTGCTCAGCTTATTCATTCATTAAACATTACTTTGCCCTCTATTTGACAATTGTAGTTCATTTACTATTTTACAATTATAGTAGTGTTACTACAGTAAAAAGTTTATACTGATAGTCATTCCCACATGCAGTGTAAATCTGAGTGTAGTATTTATGCTTTTTCATTCTGTCCTTGGGTTGAATTAAAAAGAAAACTCAAAAATCATAATCCATAGGTAATAAAAATAATTTATAAAGGTCAAAACTATTAAATATTTATCAATCATAACTCCACTACTTTTTCTCCCATTTGAGAAAAAATTCATGGGAATGAAAGTGAATGAGAATGAACTATAGATATAATCTTGAATTTCTTCTATTTTTTTAAGTAAATCATTCATAAACTGTTACTTTAACATTAATAGTAGTGAATTATTATACTTACGACGCATCTTATATCTCCTTTCAACACATTGTGTTGAATTATCATAGTTGAAGAATTGCTGCTGTAGAAGAACCATTCAGCTCTTAGAATAAACCTTTCCTATAATCTGTAGTTAGTAGTCATGTTTTGGCTTCATAGATGCTTCCAAGATAACATGCAGATTTCAAGGAAAATCAATATATGCAATATGTGGTTATACGTAGAAAATTGTGCAAGAGATGAAAGAGGATAGTGCTAATAATAGAATTTTAAATTAAACATTTATTGTCAACAGAATGAAAGGAGGGGGAAAATAAGCAGAATACTGTCAACTTTGTCAATTTTGAAACAAGATAAGCTCCCAAATGAAGTTGACTATATTGCATATAGTATAATATTTTAGATGGTGCTAATTGTATCTCCATCTCTTAGGTTTGAAATATGAAATCAAGTTTGGTAATAGATGTCCCTTCATCACATCTCAATGATAATCCTTTAAAAATTAGGAAACATTACTTTCTAACTTTTAAAATGTGAAACCTACCTTTACCTGTTTCCCTTTTATTCATGTTTCATGAAACTGCTTAGATAAGTCTGATTGCTTTGATGTGATCATAAATACCTTTATGGGACCTCTTGTTTCAGAGTTTTGTTATAAGAATATATTGGGTCTTCGGAAAAGTCATGATGCAAGTTTGCAACAGATGGCACTAGTTCATTTTTGGAAGTACTAGAGTCATTCGCATCTATGTTATTGCTATGTCATTTGACAGCTGACAGTTCTAGCTTCATTCTAAAAAAAAAAATTGGGCGATTTGGTTGAGTTTTGGAGATTTTACAACCAAATTGAAGATGGAAGACCAAACTGCATTTTTGCCATATTTTACTGTTTTACTTCCATAAAGGGAAGAACACGCGTCAAGCTTGTGAAAAGTTGCATAAAGTTTATGGTAACAATGCTCTACAAGAACGTCAGTGCCAACGATGGTTCACAAAATTCCGTGCTAGTGATTTTTTTTTTTTAAGATTTTATTGGGGAATTGGGGGAGGGGAACAGTGCTGGAGAATCTGGGTAAGGGGAACAGACAAGTTGCTGTCCTTTTGTTCTTCAGTCTAGTTGTGGAGGACGTTGCTTCACTGGCCCAAGCTGGCACCATCATTGTGCTCTTCCCAGGCGAGGCAGATCAGTCGCTGGCCTCTGGACGGCCGCTCACGCTGGCTGCCCGCTACACACAGTAGCTTATGACAGCCCACTGCAGCAGGGGACTGCAGCCTACACAGTCGCCAGCAACTCATGGCAGGCAGCCCAGCTCCAGGTCAAGCTGCTGCTCACTATCTTAGCTGCAGAGGGCAGTGTCACTGGCTCTTATATGTGGGATCCGAACCGGGGCCCTCTGGCATCCCAAGCCAGCTCTTAACCAATGCGCCACTCGGCCGGCCCCCGGTGCTGGTGATTTTGATCTCAATGACGCTCTTGGGTCAGGGAGGCCCACTGAGGTTGATGACGACAAAATAAAGGCATTGATCGAGTGGAACGCACGTTACACAACACAAGAGATTGCAGAAACATTGAACATCCATCATTCAAGCATTCACAACCACCTAAAGAAGCTGGGATACATAAGCAAGCTTGATATTTGGGTTCCGCATGAACTTAAAGAAGTTCATTTGACGGCATGTATAAACATCTGCAATATGCTCATTAAACATGAGGAAAACGATCCTTTTTTGAAGCGACTGATAACTGGTGATGAGAAGTGGATTGTTTACAACAATGTGGTGCGCAAATGGTCTTGGTCCCGACGTGATGATTCGCCTCAATCGACATTGAAAGACATTCATCGGAGGAAGATTATACTCTCAGTGTGGTGGGATTTTAAAGGTGTCATGTTTTTTGAGCTCCTACCAAGGAACCAAACAATCAATTCAAGTGTCTACTGTCAGCAATTGGACAGTTTGAATGAACCCATCATCCAGAAACATCCAGAGCTTGTTAATTGTAAAAGAAGTTGTGTTCCATCACAACAACGTGAGAACACACACAAGTTTGATCACCCATCAAAAATTATTGGAGCTTGGTTGGGATGTGTTGCTGCACCCACCACACTCGCCTGACCTTGCGCCGTCAGACTTCCACTTGTTTTGCTCTCTTCAAAACTCCTTGCGTGGTATAACGTTCAGTTCAGATGAGGCTGTAAATCAGCACCTTGTTCAGTTTTTCTCAAATAAAGACAGGTCCTTCTATGAACGAAGAATCATGAAGTTCACTGAAAGATGGTAAAAGGTTATCAAACAAAATGGGCAATATATCATTGATTAATCTTTGTTCTTTATTATAAGTAAATGACCTTTGAAGAACATAGACAAAATACGTCATGACTTTTCCGAAGACCCAATAGTTTATCAGTAGAAAGATTGCCAGTTTTCAGGAACTAGAAAAACCTCTCTACAGTGTGAACAAGGTACTTAATAGGCTGGATGGTAGGATTGCATGAGCACATACTACTTTACCAACGTGCTCAGATATTTTTTTGTTTGTTTTGATGAACAGTTATATGATTTGGTGGATTTTTCTAATTTCTATTTAAAGTTGGGAAGGAATGAAACAAGGTAGAAGAAATGGTTTCTTCAGCTTAGTTCTTTTATACCTTTACCTGAGACAGTCTTAACAGTTCATTATCAAATAATTTTGTTACAGAGTGACTGTTACATGGTTAGAGCGTACAAAAAGTCAAGTTCATATTTATATTTAATAAAAGAACACTGTGTTCCAAATGTAGTACTCTGAAGCCCTCATCACAAAGTTAATAGTTTTATTTAGGAGAGAAAGTTTACACAAGTATTTTTTAATTTAAATTGTATTTATTTTTTGATTAGGTACTAAAGTCACATGGCACAACATTGGAAGGGTGCAAAGAGTATATACAGTAGAGTATCTCCCTCCTAGCCTGGTTGTCTCAAACACCCAGTAGAATCCAGTATTTGAATTTTTATTCTTCTAGAGATATTTTATGCATATATAAGTAAGTTAATGTGTGTTTTATCTTGTTGGTTTTGCCCACAAATACACTGTTCTGTACCTTAACAATTTATTTTTGATATTACATATCTGTATATGTAGAACTTCCTTTTTTTATGGTTACATTTATACTATGTTTGGATATTCCATAATTTAACTAGTCCCCTATTCATGAACATTTAGTTTGTTTCAACCTTTTACTATTAGAAACTGCTGAGGTGAATAATCTTGTGCATGTTGTTTTGCTTATGTCTGTAGGATAAAATACTAGAAGTAGAATCATTAGATTTAAACGTATGTGTATTTCATTTTGGTCAATAGTGCTAAAATGGCCATACAATTTGTCTGGATAGGTTTTTGTTTTTAATTGAGGTCTCATTTACAAACCATAAAATTCACAGTTTTAATTGTACAACTTGTTTGGAAGGTTATGCCAGTTTACACTATACCT